CAGTTATACTCCAATAAAGATGTTAAAAACAAAAAAGAAAAAGAAAAAAGAAATCGATTGGAAGAGAGCCCTGAGTAGGAGAGTTGGATATTCCCCAGAGGTTCTGGCTTAGAGAACTGGGTGGATCAGAGTGTTGTCATGGTGCCAATACCATTGACCAACATGGAGAACATTGAGAAGCATATTTTGATTTTGTTTTTAAGGAGAAGGTTGGTGGGGGCATAAATAATCAATTTTACTTTGAGGTGTAGTGGGACATGTTCAAGGAGAAATGGCTAGTAGACACTTGGAAATATGGACTTGTAAATAGATGAGCTCATTGGCACTTAGGTGGCACTTGAAAACATGAATGTCAATGAGGTTGCCTTGTGAGAATGTCAAGTGAGAAGAAAAGAGAGCCTATGGCTTATCTTGAGGACTGGGAAGTGGGTCATACAAAGAAAACACAGAGAAGGGCATACATAGAAGTAAAAGGGTTTATTCATCATTTTAGAATGATCCATTAGTATATTAAATTAAAATTAACTATGTAGCCTTGGAAGTTATATTTCAAATATGATTCACTTGCATATTAATGTGTTAAAGCATAAGCCAGAGGTTTTCATCCTTTCCCTAAGAGATTAAACTATTTTACTCTTTGTATCTATGGGCAAATGAATATGAACTCTATAGCATGAGAGTGTTGTAGGAGCTACCTACCTTCTAATATCTATCTTTTTTTTGAAGTACTATGCTGCATAAAACAGTGTGTCAGGTGGACAACCATTGAGATTGTTACCATTACTACTGTCTTAAAAGTGTTTGTTGTAGCGTTCTATCTGGGCACACTCTGCCTGCCTCATCAATCCCCAGAATCCTTGCAGGCGACTGTTCCAGTGTGAAACAGACTCTCCAGGCAGCACTGTGGAGGGAAGGAGTACTGCACTACTATCCTGCTTGAGGGTAGGATAGTCATAGTCCTATAACTTAGTGCATAGTCATAGTCCTATAACTTACTATTAGCTTAAAAGTCACATTAAACTTTCTTATTGTTTAAAATCTGATATTTCATATGCAGAGATCAATATGAAGCAGTAGCAAAGAATTGTTTCTTTTGTAATCTCATTAATACTTTGACTAGTATTTCAAGAATGGGCAGTTGTTTCTATCTGGAATTAAAAAGGATTTTTCCTTGAAGTGTATAGGCAGTACACTCTTAAGTGAACACACATTTTAGGATGTATTTGAAGAACTTGTAGTAAAAAAAAATTAAGTTAAATAAGTTTTTTTTTTCACAAATACAAATTCTTTTTCTATATTTCCCTTTTGTACTTTATTTAAAGTACTGCTAAAGGGATTCCCTGGCGGCGCAGTGGTTGAGAGTCCGCCTGCCGATGCAGGGGACACGGGTTTGTGCCCCGGTCCGGGAAGATCCCACATGCCGCAGAGCGGCTGGGCCCGTGAGCCATGGCCGCTGGGCCTGCGCGTCCGGAGCCTGTGCTCCGCAACGGGAGAGGCCACAACAGTGAGA